TGCTTGTGTACGCGCTTATTTGAAAGTAAACACGCTCTTGTGTATTTGTCACAATAGCAGGAATAATAATAATAGTAATCGTAGGTGTAGTATATATATATATATATATGTATATATATATATATATTGTTGTATCCTATCCCTATTGAAAAAATTGATCACAAAAACAAATCTAGACAGTTTATTTTTAGACAACTCCACTAGTAGCACAAATTTGCAAGTCGCGCTGGCTCCACCCCCCCCCCCGTGTTTTGGTTTGTTTTTTTTACCTATCCAATATGCGCGCATAGACACATATGTGTGTGTATATTTTCACAACTTCTTCAATTTTTCTCTGCATATCGTGTTCTCTATAAAAACGAAGAAAATGTAAAGAAGGTATTAGTTTTCCTGTTAGCGCATTATTGTTGTTAACCAGGCTGAAACTTTACAAGTCTATACCAACCAGAGTGATATTATTATTATTATCATGGACAACTGTTGAAAATTTTCATTTTTGACCTGAATTTTGTCTTCTGTCCTGCTCATGAGTATGTATGTATAAGCATGTGCGCAAATACAATATTTATCTATCGATATAAATTTATAAGTATATATACATATATTTGACAGGCGTGTATTTGTCGTAGATTTCTTGTTTTTAAGCTTCTTAAAAATTATTTCCTGCAATGCAAACTGGTTTTTTTTTTAAAATCTTTACGTGATAAATTGTTTCTCTTTTCGCCTAGACACATTCACTCGTAGATGTACGTACAATACTAATTGATCCTAATTGATATATGCATATATATATAGGCATAGAGTTTCGGATTAGTCAGCGAAGACACTAGTCTCCCAAGTAGTTTTTTAAATTTTGTTATGTCTTTTTTCCAAAATAAAGAAAATAAACAGGCTGCCTTGTAAACATGACTGTTGTTATTTATTTCAATCTTTCCTTTTGGTTTTCTTTGGTTACTCTCATATTGGTTACTGTTTTATTTTCATGGAATATACTGTCGTTTCAATACTACTGTAAGAGGCATGATAGAGACAAAGGTTTATTTGTAGTAAAATCTGTTGTTCCAATTTATGTAAGTAGGGGGAGAGAGAGAGGGGAGATACATGGTGTATTCATTTGTGCATTCAGTTTTTATCGATCAACTTGGTGGTTTGTCTTTACAATTCAACAATTCAAATATCCCCTGTTACTGTGATTCATTGTAGAGTTTTCGTTGTCTCTTTAGATATTTTTTCACGTTTATTTATTTATTTCAGTTATTCACATGTTTCACTGTTTTTTTGTCAATCAAAAAATTGATTATTATGCTATTAATTGTGTGTGTATGTGTTGGTGTTTCACTGGTAGAGTACATGCTTACCAGCCGTACATGTGGTTTTAGGTTCAACTTGCGTTTGACGCGAACACCTACACATCGCTTAGATGGTGGTGGTGGTGGTAGTAAGCTTGCTAAATAAGGAAGGTTGAGTGTGACGCCAGCGACCACGGCCCGCCCACCCCTACCTACCACTGTAAAAAGAAACTCCATCGCTACTGAAACTTCAAAGCTCAAGATTTGAAACTGTATGTTCCACTGAGAACACAAATTACTGAATTTTATGCTGGAACTGAACTAGATTGAAAGGAGTTTTCCACGTAGAAATTCGCACAAAAGTTCACGAGTTCAGTCTACTGCACTTCGTCAAAGCACACATAGAAAAAAAGATAGAAAGAAAGAAACTATAATAAATGAAAATGTGCTGGAGAAAGGATGTTGACATGGAGAATAATAAAAATTTAAAGAGTGAATGCATTCGCGCCATTGAAAACGACTTTGAACCATATAACCAATAGTCTCTAGCCGTTAAATTCTTAACCTACAAAAGGATCCCCCGTCTGTGTGCCTCAAACCAACTGTCAAAGTCTTCATGGATTGATTCTATGTATTGACTTCAGTGCCCCTTGGACTCTTTTTTATAATTTAATCTTATGTCAGTTAACACTGCTTGACGAGAAAGGCGATAGGTTGGTATGCCTAACACAATCTCATCGATTCACCTCCCCTTCTTACATAGCACTACGCCTAACCTCAGTATTACCCGCTGTATTATGCCACGTAACATTAAAAACTGAGCGCCAACACATGTTCAGAAATCTCCTAGTCTCTCATGTTGCTCGTTCAACAGATGAATTTCACAGCTTTAACGAGAGGGATAGGGTGAACTACTTCCAAGATATGGAACTTATCGGTTTCATCACGAGTTGACATCAGTTAGAGAACCATTGGAAAACTTAAGGAAGCACTGGACAGTTGGCACTCACGGGTTGGGTCCCGGTGGCTGAATGGTCTATGAGCTCGCCTTGCAGCCCTAAGGTCCTGCGTTCGGACCCCAGTTGTTACGTATTTCTGAAGAGTGGGACAAAACAGCTATCCAGTGCTCCCTGGTTTTTCAATAGTTCTCCAGCTGATGTCAAGCCGTAATCAGACTTGTAAACAATCAAATCCCTGCAAACCGACACCTGATACAATTTATTGTCTTATTTTAAATTTTTATGTATTTTCGATGAGTATCATTACCTGAAGTTTGTTAATTCCTCAAAATACCAATTCGATTAGCGAACGCTGACAAGTAATTCATTTGGCTGAAAAAAGTATTTTTCAGTTCAAAAAGCCTACAACCTGTGGTTAATTTTTGTTTTGTAGTCTTGAGATTTTGATGTTTAGGTTTATAACATACTCCAACTGTAACGCTTATTCTAGCGTTGCTATGTTTATGTAATGAGACAAACATATTCTGTAGATATTTAACATTAAATTAGAAATTGATGAAGTTTTATTAATTTGGATAGCTTCGGAGTTCCCACTAGTTTGTGACAGTAATTGTTGCTTCATTGTTATATTTAAGCTTCAGGTTTTATATTTAGCTGGTGTTCCTCAAGGTGCTGTTCTTTCTCCTTTTCTGTTTTCTTTTTTCTTACATGACTTGCCCTATTCTGATGTAGCTACTTTTGTCAAGTATGCTGATAACCTCTCTGTCTCTATGCCTGTCAACTCTCAGGTTGGAATTACATCTAATGTCAAGTACCTTGGACTGAGTATTTCCTCCGATCTTTCCTGGTCCTCTCACATCTTGCTAGTGACTAGAAAGATGTTTCGCTTAACGTTCTACGTTAGGAAGTTAAGGCAGTCTGGTATAAAGCAGTCTTTGCTTTCTCAGTTTGTCAATTCTTGTATTCTAACCATCCCTCTTTACTGCTGCCCATTAATCTTTCCTGGACTACTTAAGAAAGATTTTGCTTTGCTGCGTAGGGCACTAAAAGCTGTTAGTAGGGGAGTGGGATTTCGTCAAACCAACTGGTTAACACCGTTGTGGATAGACATATAATGTCATGTAAGAAACTAGCGAATTCTATATTGTCAGACCCCGAACACCCTCTCTATACGCAGCTCTCTCCTTGCATTTAATCTGGTAAAACTAGAAGCAACTATAGGAGGCTATATGTCAGGACTAGCAAGTACAAAAACTCCACAATACCTTATCTGGCACAGCTGTTATGCGATGAGAAATCCGTTAGGTATGACACGATCAACTTACTGCGGCACTCTAACAAATAGTTTCCATTAGCTTTTGTTCTCCTTTCTTTAATACTATTATATTGTTGCTCACATATTCTATTACACACTAATTTCATATTTCATATCCTGTGGTGCATAGTTTAAATATGTGAATGCAACGCTGTTCTTTTTTATTTCTTTTCTTTTTTCTTTTTGTTGTTGTTGCTTTTTATTTTTAAAATCTCATAAAATTTATGATGTAATTAGATGCAATATTGTAATGCACGCTGAAAATTCCATACCTGTACCAAAAATACTGTTTGGAATAAAGCTATTATTATTTAAAACACATAAAATAGCTTATTAAGATGTAGGTAAAGCTTGGGTGAGGCGCATGCATATAGCACACGCCTCGCCCTGATGTTTGCGATGGTGGTACAGCGGTAGAATGCTCTCTACCCACACTTGTGGCTCGGGGTTCGATCCCCGGCCGACGCCACTCCTAATCTTCGCTAAGCCTGTGGTGTAAGATCGGTAAAGAGGGAAGGTTGGCTATGAGGCTAGTAACCCCATCCCGTAAAAATAAATACCACTGCTACCGAAACTTCAAGACTGTAGCTTAGAGCCCTATGTCCCATGAGAAACGTAAAGGGAAAAAACTTGGGCACTGTGGTAGTATTAATTTGTTTATTAGATATATCACACAGTGAAACAGTATTATTTACTGGATAATGATTTTTCGGACACAGCTTCGAAACTTTTGTTTTATAGTTTTCTTTATTCTTTCCTATTTGTCGTAGGGGTAGTAGGCAGAGACAGATTGATAACAGAAGCTTAAGTTATCGAACCAAATTGAAAATACGTGTAATAGGAATGATTCAACACACCTGCCCAGCTGGTCATCTGGAAAATTCTACTGCCGCTACGACAAATAGGAAAGAATAAAAAAACAACAACTATAAAACGAAAGTTTCGAAGTTGTGTGGTTATAACTGACCTGATTATGAACAATAAATTGTGTTCGAAACGTCGTCATCCAGTAAATATAATAGTGTTTCACTGGGTGATATATTTAATAAACAAATTAATAAATGTATAAATTAATAATAAAATTGGATTTTCATGATTGTATGTATCATATTGTTACAAGTATTTCTTCGTTTTCGCTTATCTGCAAGTGGTGCTCCTCACTTGAACTAAGAGTATTTAGGCTCTGCCATAATCATCGCTTGTCTTAAAATAATCTTTCTAAATTCTAAAGCTTCTTACTTTAGGGCATACGTTTGCACTAAACCACAGAAAGTATTGAAACTACTTCAAACTCTGATCGAGGTTTAATCTAACCGTTTCATAAACACTCATTGTCCTAGTGAAAAGTAGACATATTTGAGAAAAGTTACATTTTTATAAGTCTCAACAATATTTGCAATATTTAAAATAATTAATTCCAACTTCTTTAATTTTTAGTTTTATATAACAGAAGCTCATCGATTTCCAAATGTTGTACAATTAATTGAGCATCATTCTCGTTCTGCTGATGGATTAGTTTGCCCACTTCTTTATCCTGTCCCGAAACCACAATTTTTAAGTCAACCTATGCAACAATCGTGTTATTCATCTGTCCCACAAACACTGTCCAATTCACGAGTACCTGGTCAGAATCAATTTGAAGCGAATTCTATTTCACCTCAATCGAATAATGAAATGTCCAACTTCCCTGTACATCATCATATAAATGCTGTACAACATGTACCTAAACCGTTTCATTCAGGTCATGTAAATAATTCTGAAAGATTAAGTGCTTGCAGTGATTCTATTGGTAGTATGGAATTTGATGGATGGGAAATTGATCGGTCGGAGATTATTATGCGTCAAAAGTTGGGTAAGGGAAACACTTGGCAAATTGATGTTTATGTTTTCATATGTATATACCGAGTGATAATGTCTATATGCTCCTTTTTAATGAAATCTTAATTTTATTAGACTTTTAATGCATCCATCTAGTGATCTGTTTAAAACAAGTTTTTTTTGTGGAGTGTTTTCTTCCTTTCTCCCAGTTGGACCCCTGTTTTCTGTACCTCTAGTTCTTCATTCCATTAGGTTCCGAATGGAAAATAAGGCTTCTAAAGTACATTTCCATTTCATCCTCTTCTCTGCAGTCGTCTTTAACTGGTTCCACGATTGCCCCTAAGGCTCTCATCTCCTCCGCGTCACCCTCGGACCCAAGCCAAACTTACTGTTTCCCGTTCAAGTTCCACTCGAGATTTTGATGCACAATGTTACTCGTCCCCACACCCAGCTCGTATCTTCCTATTTGGATTTGACTAGAGCAATCACTTGGAATAACACTATGCCACTCAACGGTTTCTTCAATGTGTATCCAGTCTATTTCCATTATCTTTGGGATATTTATTGGGCACTAGGTTCTTGGTTGGTTGGTTCATCGCCTGAAAGAGTTTCATGTTGCTGCTAATCCTTTCTGACCGGTCATCTGATCTCCAGTATGGAATCAGCAGAGACAGTTGTTGAGAACCATGTAGAGAAGCACTGAGTGACATGGTGTCAGTGTTGAGAATTCTAATCGTGTTCTTTATGCTGAGTGTAGTAGATTTTCAGGCTGGTTTCAGAATAATATGATAGTCTGTGTCTTGCTTTATTTGACCCTGGCTGGTTTTAATATCCTCATGTGTTGTACTGTACCGTTTGAATATTCTATCAGTTGTAATTTTTCCTTTTTATTTTTGGTATTCAGTACCTTGTCTTTTATCTGACATTTAAAGCTTTTTTTTTATAAATTATTTTTCTGTGTACATTTAGGCTGTGGTCAATATGGTGATGTGTATGAAGCTGTATGGAAGCGTTTCAATTCTGTTGTTGCAGTGAAAACACTGAAAGTAATTTTAATCACCATTAATCTTTAATTTTATTCTTGTTTTTATCTTACCGCTTATTTTAAATTAGTAGTTATGTAACAACAGAAGACAAGGGCCAGGCAACAGATAGTTTATTAAGGAAAATCAACACATATTTATAGATTTTAATGTACATTATTGTAGATTATTGTTAGTGGAAAACACAGTCTTTTGATTGGTTGTTTCTCACAGAAAGTTAACCTTGCATCTCTTGTGGCTGTGTCAGATCATCCATATGCTAACTGTATCCGCCTACTCAAAGCGATTGTTCTCATTTTCTCACTACCAATATTGGGGACATAAACATTGACGTCAATTACTGTCTACCAACTTTGGTTAGCAGCCAGCTCTCACCACAGTTATCTTGCCACTTCTATACATACATCGCTGCTTAGTTTCATTTAATTATGAAGCTCTTGTTTTGGATATTGTTGTATTTAATAATGAGGCTGACTGCAATGTACAATGAGCTTTGCAGATTCTCTGTAAATGAAATACGCTTCTTTTCTGGTGATCTTCTATCTTTCTCATTAACGAATGTACTACCATCGTCAATACAAATGAATCAAATGATAAGAACGTTTCCGGGGGACCGTTAGTTAAGTGGAGCAGTGGCCTTTTTAGTGTAGACGCTCGACATCCAACCTGTGGGTCACAGTTTCAAATCCTGCTCCGCCCACCGAGCTTTAGATAGTCTGGTAGTGTCACTAGCCCTCATACAATAGGTGTGACTTATGTTGCCATCTTCAATCCCATTTTTTCATTACCAATCACAGTCAAATTGTATATCGCCATAATTGGCGGATATTTCACTTTTTACGATTTTGACCACGGATTGATATCAGTTAGAGAACCACTGAAAACCAGGGAGTACTGGACAGCCGTTTCATCCTAGTTTGGGAATCATAGGCAGTACGCATCCACTGGGGTTCGAATCCAGGACCTTCCGGTTACAAGACATGCTCGTAGACCATTTAGCCACTGGGACCCTATTCAATGGCCCATGAATTCTAACTTCTACCAATTCGTGATTTAGCGTGACTGACACCAACCAATGTCATCGGTGGGAAATCCATCCTCACACTTGACTGGTTGGACCTCACTGGTCACAACTTCTCACTAGAACTTGTAACCAGAATGTCCTGGGTTCGAATCCCAATAGGTGTGTACTGCCAATGATTCTCAAACTGGGATGAAACGGCTGTCGAGTTATCCCTGGTTTTCAGTGGTTCTCTAACTGATATATCAATCCGTGGTCAAAATCTTAAAAACAAATTTAATCCTTACAAACCAACTCTAAATTCTAAAACCTTATTTCACATTGAAGTTGGAGCTGAAAATGTTATCCTGAAGGACAATGAAAGCTTCACAATTAAACTATCCAGCTTAGCTAGCAAACACAGCCACCAGTGCCAAAAACGTCCACCTTCTCCATTGAGTTATATTTGTATTACATACCTTAAGAATTTTGCAGAAATCGATAAAAATGGTAAATAATAGGACTACTGGCTAGACTGTCTACTTATGACTGATTAAATGATAACATCATTTTCTGTCTAATCTGATCAAATTCTGTGAGTTCATGCGGGGGAGGAGGGGTAGGGGTAGAAAAACAATTTCTTAAGGCATTTTACTATCAGACAGTATAATAATGTGTAAAGAAGATCTCACCGTGGAAAGACTGAATTCATATTATTTATTAGATCTCATCGATTTTTTTCTGGCCTGAAATTGGGGAAAAGAGGAAAAAATGACCCTGTTAACTTCTACACCTTTTCTTTTGATCACCCCTATCGTTCAATTATCTTGAAAGAGAAAGAAAGGGAGGGAGGTGTGTTAGCTTTCGCGATAGCTAAGATAATCTCAGGTAATATTCTCCATTGGCTGAGTCATTTTAAGGATGTTCGTGGACAAGATTAATAGACACATCACTATCAAGGGGGGGGGGTTATTCAACAATAAGTTTAATTATCTACTTACTGTGTAATTAGTCACTGAGTGTTTCCAATTTGATAAATTTGTTGAAAGTATGTTTGCCTAAGTAATTTTGATATATTTACATTATGAGTGAGTATGCCTAATCAGCGTGTATCGATAAACATATATGTAGTTCTATGTATATCCTGCTCTGGAATCAACTAGTATTTAAACTAGGCTTTACGTTATCTTTTGTCAATAAAACTCTATTCAGAATGCAAAATATATCATGCGTCGGTGGCATAGCGGTTAGGACGCTCACCAACCATGTACAGGGTCCGGGGTTCGATCCCCGGCCACCGACGCACTCTTTTACCCCTTTGCCTCGTTAAGCCAGAAATAATGCTGGTGAAGAGGAAAGGTTGGACATGAGGCTAGCAACCCAACCCCATCCTGTAAAATAAACACTGCTATAGAAACTTAAGCCACTAGCTTGAAGCCCTATGTTCCACTGGGGAACTTGAAGGATAAAAAATATATATATATATATCGTGGCGTACACAGTCAGTGTATACTTTGACGTATTACTTATTTATCTATTTTATTCCTTTGCGTTCCGAGTGGAGCATAGGGTTTCAAGTCTTCAGCATTGAAGTTTCAATAGCAGTGTAGTGTTATTCTTTTTGACGGGGTTAGAGTCGCTAGCCTCACACCCAACCAACCTCCCCTCTTTACCGGGATTACTAACGGCTAAATAAGTTGTCAGATATCCAGATCGCTGAGATCCTGAACTTATCGCTGACTTCAGAAGATTAAGCTTAATACTCAGTAGATTACGCACTGCAACCGACGCGGAAGAAAAGAAAACGGTTGGGTAACACGATTATTTATTTTTCAAGCGACAAGGAAAAATTTACAATGGTTAATAAGTGCTAAAGTCTGTAAAAATAAGCGTTAATATAGTATACAAGAATACTTCTCGATCGTGTTTTTCCAATCTTCTGCTAACCAATATACAATTAAGCAATGACAGCCTTCTTGTCTCCCGTCAAACGGAGAGAAGTTCAAACAAACAAACAAACAGACTGTTCAGTGCTCACCAACATTTGACACAAAGTTTACGGATACGTTAGGTGGGCATGGAATGGCAATCAAACCTCTACCTCAACTTTATACACTTTGAGAAGGCCTTCGACAGAGTTGACCGCGAAGTAATTTGTAAACTACTCAAGTACTACGGCGTACCTCAAATATTCACCAACCTTATTCAACAGCTGTACGACAACGGTACATGTCAAGTGATCCACAACGGAAAACTCAGCGAAGCGTTTGCAGTAAACACAAGAGTCAGACAAGGGTGCTTATTATCACCGATGATATTCCTAATTGTGGTGGACTGGATTATGCGTCAGACAGTGGGAAACGAGAAGACAGGGATATCCTGAACCGACGTGAAGAACCGAGAAGACCTGGATTTCGCGCGTGGATGATTTATGTTTGATGTCACACAAAATCGAAGACTTACAAGCGAAAACCGACAAACTGATCGAAGAGGCTGGCAGCAAAGACAGGACTCCAGGTGAACATAGACAAGACGGAGGTTATCAGAATAACCAACCACCAACAACAACAGCAGCAACATCCAGAGCCAATCGCTATCAACGGGAGGGATTTGAAAGAGGTTACTTCATTCACTTATCTAGGGAGCATTGTCTCAACTGCAGGAGGAGGAGGAACGGACGAGGATGTCAAATGAAGAATCGGGAAGGCGAGAAACACATTCATCAACCTGAAACCAATCTGGAAATCTTCGTCACTCACTCAGCCTGCATCAACAACAAAATTCGGATTTTCAATACAAACGTCAAGTCAGTCAGTTCTTCTATACGGATGGATCAGAAACTTGGCGGCGGGTCACAAAGAATATTTCCAACAGCCTGTTGCAGACCTTTGTGAACAACTGTCTTCGCTCACTCTATACTGAAGATCAGATGGCCGGAAATAATTACCAACAAGAAACTATGGGAACAAACAAAACAAGAACCAATCGCCCAACAAATATGTAGGAGAAAGTGGAGATGGATTGGACACTCGCTGAGGAGGCCACTGGGTGACATCGCACGTCAGGCCAGCGCTCGAGTGGAACGCGAAAAGGAAGCGGCGAGTGGGACGTCGAAGGTTGACATGGAGGAGATCGTGTGAAGTGGAGTTGAAGCAGCATGGACTAACATGGATGCAGGTGAAAAGTACAGCAGAAGACAGAAGCAAGTGGAGGCGTGCAGTTGAAGGCCTATGTTCCACTAGGAACTCAAGGGAACATTAATAATAATAGGCGGGAGTCGAACCCCACATTACATATGCATAGCTGGTAAGCATTCTACCACTCATTCACCAACGCATTCACTAGATCACTCTGGTTATATTGATTAGTAAAATGTTCACGGAAGATCTTTATTACACAGTCAATAAAGTGGAATATAACACATTGGTATATACTGTTCATTTAGCGTAGAATGCAACTTAAAAATTACTTGATTTATGATCAATAAATAGTGAATTCTTTGATATACGCGTTTAAATGATTTCAACTAGACAGTTATTATAATTACTTTTCTGCCTTAGGATATTATGTGAAATAAAGTGATTGACATACACTGTCTTGACTTGTACACCTGTTTATTCCTTCTATCCTTTGCTATATTAGAAAATATCATATAAACAAGGCTAATTATGTTGTTGCATTTGTCTAAAATTACTTACTAATACCTGCGTTGCATATTATGTTTGTTTGTTTTTTGGGTGTAGCAAGATGTCAATCTGAATGTAAATGATTTCCTTAAAGAAGCGGCTATTATGAAGAAATTACGCAACAGAAACTTGGTACAATTATTGGGTATGTGCAGTATCAATTTTATTTACTGTATGTAATATTTGTGGATATTTACAATAAATTTTAAAAGTTTGAAACTGTCTTTCAAAGTGTGTTTAGTCAACAGATTGGAAATATGCCCCGAGTGAGATGAATGGACAGCAAACTCGACTCTTAATTTAAAGGTCTTGGATTCGATCCCATCTGGATTCATGGATACATGTTGTCGAAGAGCCTCAAAGTAGGCAGAAACACGGAATACGAGTTCGTTTTATAACACAGGAGGTTTCAAGAACCCAAAAATGCTGACACAATAGATGTCTTATACTCTTTTATTTCTCGTAGTTAGTCTAAGCCACGTAGGAAGGTGTAGACTTCCTGGTTGGGGTCCACGGGACGGTAAAAACCAATGGTTGGAAACAATTGGTGACATGGCTCAAAATCGTTCTCAATGGCACTGATGCATCCACTCCTTGTGACTTATGATTGCCAATTAAACTGTTTTGTTCTTCGTTATTACTATTCCTTTGTCTCACACCTCTGTTTACTGTCTATATTATGCATTTCTCCTACTTTTTTCTGTTGCTTTGTGTGCTAAATGGAGTGTGGCGACTTGAACTGCCGCACATATGTCGGTCGGTCGGTTTTCGACATAGGCCGATAGCTGCTACCTTGACGTGGTGGTCGGGCTTGCATATCGCAATGACCCAACGAGCTATACTGGCTGGAACGTATGTTCCTGTAGGTCCTACCATGTCAGAAAGCTTGTTTGGATAGCGGTTAGACAAAAAGCAGCTACCCAATCCAACACTATGATTCAAACAAATCCACAAAATATCATGCCGGATCGTTCGGGGCCCGGATTAACAACGACCGCGCTTTCTGCTGCCGTGTCACAGGGCAGAAGTGATAAATACGCTACTGAGATACACCAAATAAAAAAACAAAAACAAAAACAGGCCGCGTGTGACCGGCCTCAAGTAATTGTCCCCTGGGCTCTGCGGTCACGCAACACTAAGTTTTTTTTCTATTTCAGATACCCGAAGACCCAAACAACTACCACGGTGTGGGCAGCCGGGAAGTAACAACTGCCCACACACTTCCAAAAGCACACGAAGCCTACTTGAGCATCACTCTTCCCTACTTACATCACCTTCCTCATCTTGCTTCTCTACTACAGCTAGCACTATTCTTCAGGCTAGTGAGTCATCTTCACTTCACTCTGTGTCCACAAACAACGATGAGAGCCATAGAAACAACCCAGATAGCCTATTAAAGCCACGTCGCCAACTTCATATAGGAGCTTTTAACGTCAGGACCCTCTGCCAAATCGGACAACAGGCATCACTAGCAAGAACCCTAGAATCTAGAGCCATGGATGTATGTTGTGTTTTGGAAACACGCATACAAGACCCGAGTGTGGTCATTCATTTGACCTCACCCAGTCAACAATATGAATCTGCAAAATTCACTTTAAGGTTGTCGGGAGACCCCTCAGCTAGCTCACGAGGACTCGCAGGTGTAGGGATAGCACTGAGTGTTAGGGTGGAAAAATCACTCCTTGACTGGATCCCAGCAGATAGTCGTATGTGCGCGGTCCGCCTGAACGGGTCCGTTCGAAGAAGGAAAGACGGCGCTACCCGTCGTTGCCTTTTCGTAGTCTCCGCTTACGCCCCAACAGATTGCAGTTCGGATGAATTAAAAGATGACTTCTACCGGAAACTGTCTAATTTGCTGCAGAAAGCAAAACGTTCAGACATAGTTGTTTTAGCAGGCGACTTCAGTGCCCAAGTAGGGAAGTTGTGCCAGACTGAGAAGTATGTAGGTGGTAGATATGGAGTTCCCTGTCACACATATGTGCAAAGTTCTATGTCGAAAACAGACATAGTAAAGCTAGTACTAGTAGTCAAACTGTTTACTGTTGATTGACTGAGATTAATAATTGATATACCACTCATATATGAGTTAGTAGTGTTTGCTAGCCAGGTCATTAAAGTTGACGGTCGTCTTGCTCTTCTTTTGGGGCCGAGCCCATCACCGGTGTACACCCGGTTTTATTGAGCTTAGACAGCTGAATCTCTTTAAACCAACCGATTTCTGGTCAGCTATTTAGGCGAACTAGTATCGCCTTAAAATCAAATTCTCAATTTGCAAATTGATTAGCAATTTACAGTTTACACAATTTGAGGAGGGAAAATTTCACCAGAGTTTCTTTCGGAAAGCTAAATTATTCAGGTGACAATATATATGATCTGCTTGATACTACTGCAAATGGTAATCAATGAAGCAAGTACTAGTAATTACTTTCATCTTCTTTCCTTATTTCTCTATCCTTTTGTGACACTTATATCTATGATATGGACTGGATGTTGCTTGCTGCAAACATTATTACTAAGTGGATTAAAATATGCTCCAGATTTTATGAACAGGAGTGTGAGAAAATGAACTGCATATTAACGTTTTTCAAAAGATAGAACCTTCCCCCCGTCACATACACATTCTGTTACCTTTTCATTGGTTTCGTGCTAAGAAAATGTTCGTCGGTCTGAACGTCAATGCGTGCGTAATGTTGAAGAGACCCAAACTAGGATGAGACAGCTGTCCATCAGTCCTCTAGCTAATAACAGGTCGTGATCATTTCTGTAACCAAGATATGTAGCACAGATAATTCTGGTTATGCATATCTTACCATGTTTGTTTAAAAAAAGGATGTATTACGTCACAGTAGGCAACTAAAACATTATACAACAAGGCGGTGATAATTATGATAAGAAAGCATTGGAAAAAAAACGATATTGAGATAATACCGGGAATTGTTCGAAGTGAAACTAGTACTAAGTATCAAAATAATAAGGGAAGGAAATACAAACTGAGTAGACAAAACGAAAAATAAATAGCGCCAAAGTATGAATAGGGATTATTATGCTTTAGCATAGACAGTTTTAGATGATGAGAGATGGACGGGTTGAACAAACTTTTTCTGTACACAAAGAACCGGCTTTTCTGTTTCAATGGCCAAAGTTTCAGCAACATAGATGAGCCAGAGCAGGTTATTTTTTACCATAGGGAGAGAACTTAAAAGAAAGATCCTGTAGAAATAAGGTGACCCCAGTATCGACTAGATGTTCGGTTGTTACTGCACCATCACCTTTTTTTGACCATGTTTAATTGTGTTCTTACTCCCTATTGGACAAAACAATAGACATACTTATCCCCATGTGAGCAGATGAGCGTATGAATCCACATGAAGTTAGTCAGCTGCGGGATCTTGTCCTTCAACCTATTGAACAGTAATGGTCGACTTGGAAACACCATTCTCAACGATGCTTCAGTGAATGCCTTTTTCAAGGACTACGAGACCGTTATTTTAAGGTTATCGGCAGATAAGTTCATGTATAGCATTTGCTGGGTTAAGTCTCATTTCATAGATTCTAACTGTATGTCGTTGTCTCTAAAACTTGTCAGGGAACTATTTTCTATCAGGTTTTTTCTTAGGAGATTTAACTCTTTCTTCACAGCATCAGGACTACATCTCTGTCTCTCTCTGTTGTATTTTTTTCTCTCTCTGCGTGATATCACTGGAATTGTAGACATTCACTCATGGTGAATTTCTCCATCTTTCCTTCGATTTTTTTGATTTTTGTTTTTCTTATTTTAGTTTTTCCCCATAGAAAAGCTTGTTTCCTTGTAAAGAGTCAGCCATTTCCTTTATTCTATTTTTAAAAAATGAAATGCAATTTTAATAAATTGCAGTTTTTTTAAGAATACAAGTTTCTTGTGGTATATTTAATTGACTGCAAATAGTTTTTTGTTGTTGTTGTTGATGCTTTCAGTTTTGTTTTTCATATCAACAATGCAAATGACAATATATGTAAAAAAGGAGTGTAGTCTCTCCTTTTTTCACTGTGATTCGTGTTATTTTCATCCGATCACGTGTCTGTTCAATACCTTAATCTAGGCGAAGAGTTTTGCTGTCGGTCGATCGATCGGTTTTCGACATAGAACTTTGCACAAATGTGTGGCAGTTCAAGTCGCCACACTCCATGTAGCACACAAAGCAAGAGGAGAAAGTAGGAGAAATGCATAATATACACAGTAAACAGAGGTGTGAGACAAAGGTATAGTAATAACGAAGAAGAAAACACCTTCATTGGAAATCATAAGTCACAAGGAGTGGATGCATCTGCACCAGACATTGAGAACGATTTTGAGCCATGCCACCAATTGTTTCCAACCATCGGATTTTACAGTCCCGAGGACCCCAACCAGGAAGTCTACACCTTCCTACGTGATTGGCTTAGACTAACTGTTGTAGATTTCATTGACTGGTGCCATGTTTTGGTTTGACCGCCGCTAGCTCTTTTCCAGCCTGACCCTATATCAGCTAACATTGCCCGTTGAGGAAGGCGATGACTAGGCATACGTAACACATGTCCTAACCATCTAAGTCGATGTAATTTCACAGTTTCGTCGATTGATTTCCCCTCATTCCTTACCTAGAACTCGACGCCTAACCTCAATATTGCTCATCTTATTATACTGCTTCACACGGGAGATAGAACGCAGACACCTATGATCGAAGACAGCTAGTCTTTTCATGTCTTCTGCTCTCAATGGCCAGGTCTCACCAACAGCCATAAAGGAGGACGGAGCGGACTGTTGAGCAGTACACACGCCCTTTGGTCGATAGTTGGATATCACGTCTACGCCAGAGATGGCGTAAACTGGCGTATGCGAAACTAGCCCTCTGTATTCGTGCTGAGATTTCGTCAGAGATCAACCCGTTGGCACTGGCTGATGGTACTTCCCAAGTAATTGAAGCGGTCAACGTGCTCTACCACTTCACTTCCTATTTCTAATCTAGGGGTCGGTGAAGTCCAATCTTGCAGCATCATCTTACATTTCACAGGGGCGAATCGCATGCCAAACATACGAAGATTGTTGCTCAAGGTGTTCAGTAGACTCTGCATTTTGTCAGCGTCCTCGCCTAAAAGGACTATATCGTCCGCATATTCTAAGTCGACGAGATTATTCCCTGGTAGCAAGTTTTGCTGTAAGTGTTAATAGGACTACTCTATTGCACCATATACTGTTTATCGTTGGTTAGACTTTTCTTCATATACTACTTCTATTGTTGTTGTTATTATTATTACTGTTGTGTTCAGTCAACGAAACAAGTGAAAATGATAAATGCGATAGTGTGAGAAATGATTTACTTGACTCTAGGGAGAAGGTATTTATTCACTATTGAGATTTATCATTTTGGTGAGGTAATAGGCTTCTGGCTTCACTAAGACGACAATGTTTTGTTAGCTAAGCTTTAGGATAGAATTTAAGCATAGAAGTGCAGCAGTTCAACTTGTCACACTCCATGAAGCATACAAAGACTCCGTGGATCGAAAGGGGTACTATGGCAATGTTTGACTGTGAAGGGAGTGCCAAGAAAGTACATTGCACTAATCAAGGCACTCTACTCAAACTCACGTAGCCGTGTAAGGGCTTATGGGAAATTGTCATCTGAATTGTTAACTGCTCAACAGTTCGCTCCGTCCTTCTTTATGGCTCTGAAACATGGCCAATACGAATTGAAGACATGAAAAGGTTGACTGTTTTCGACCACAGATGTTTACGATCTCGTTCTCAAGTTAGGTGGCATAATAAGGTAAGTAATGTTGACGTTAGGAGTAGAGTGTTGGGCAAAGAGGGAAAATCAATCGAAGAGGCTATAAAGTTACATAGACTGAGATGGCTAGGTCACGTGCTGCGCATGCCTCACAGTGTGATAAAGTAATGTTTACTGATGACGTTTCGAGCAAAATTTATTGCTGCTCATAATCATATCAAAGTACTCGCACAACTTTCTTACTTCGTTTGTATAATTCCATTATTTTTCATCGCTTGACTTGATTGCTAATAGTATTTTCCGTATTTCCGGTATGAGTGATAAGTCATTCCTATTACATGTGTTGGGTGTAGACTCGATGAACAACGATTCAGTCAATCAACGTCTCTCTATATCCACCTACCTATACTACTTCTTAGAATTTTAACCCTCTCCCACCTTATTGTGTGTTAATGTATGCAGTGCAATTGCGGACTTTTTTCTTCTAAATTTCTTATCTTCTCTAGGTCAACCATTCTAACCTTAGCTAAATTCTTATATTCTGGTAATCTGACTACCCCCAACCTACTAGTTTGACTCAACCAAAGTTCACAATTTCTATTCATGTATAACAAAAAATTGTTTTTGATTGTAGATGTTTACGATCTCTTTCTCACGTTAGGTGGCATAATAAGATAAGTAATGTTGACGTTAGGCGTAGAGTGTTGGTCAAAGAGGGAAAATCAATCGAAGAGGCTATAAAGTTACATAGATTGAGATGGTTAGGTCACGTGCTGCGTATGCCTAACCATCGTCTCCCCCGACGGGCATTACTAGCTAGCTGATATAGGTGCAGGTTGGAAAAGAGTAAGTGGTGGCCAAACAAAAACATGGCCTCATCAATCCATGAAATCCCTGACAGTTAAACTGAGTCAGGTAGGGAGGGAGATGCAGACTTCGGGTTGGGGCCCGCCCTCGGGACTCTAAGAATCAATGGCTGGAGACAATAGGTGACATGGCTCAAAATCGTTGTCAATGGCTTACGCAGATGTATTCAGTCTCTGTAATCTTTCATATTCCTTTCTACCATCACTCATTCTGTTTCACTCTTATACTTGTCAAAACTCTATTGATTCTCTTCACTCATTTTCTTGTCTACCTTTGTGTGGTATTTGGAACGTGGCAACTCGAACTTTTGCACTTCGGTGCCAAATTCTATGTTGAATCCAGACAGACAAAGATGTAGACAAATGAGATTCAAAAGAACTACAATCAAGAGAAAAATGGATGTGGAAATCATGGAGAGTGAATGCATATACTCCAAATGGGAACGATTTTGAACCATATCTCTCTTTTTTCCGTTATGTGCTGCTTTGTTTCTTTCTCTCGCTTACGCCAGTTAATAAGACAGCTCCCACTTTTCTAACACCTTCAAACACTGTATCAGCTTTATCTTTGATACCGACATGCCAATGTATTGTTGTAATAATGAACTGTGGTTTCCTCTATCTATGTAGAATTCTATTTATTGATAATGTACTAACTGGATGCAATACTGTAGTAAAAATGCTGAAAATTCCATTCTGTATCACAAGTACTGTTTTGGAATAAAGCAAATTATAATAATAATAATTATTATTATTATTATTAGTCTTCAACCATTTAATTCTTAGAATCCTGGGTATTCGAACCAAGCAGGCCTACATCTCTCTATGTGTGCCTGCCTTAAACCACCTACTAAAGGTTTTATTGACTGATTTCAGATTTTTGGTTTAACCTGCCCCACCTTTTTTCTAACCTAAATCCTATGTTGGTCAACACTGCCAGTGTAGGTGGGCGATGAATTGGAGTGCGTGTGCAACAAGTATCCTAGTTATCACAATCTATATAGCTTCAAAATCTTGCAGATTGTGACTTACCATTCTTACCTAGCACTCTACGCATCACTTCAGTATTGCCCACTGTATTATACCACTTAGAACGGAAGACAGAACACAAACACCTGTATTCAAGGACATCTAGTCTTTTCATATCTGCCGCTTTCAATGATCATATCTCACTGACTCGTAGATCGTATTCTACTTGATTTAATCTGGATGTTATCATAAATTTTGACTTACCTTTTAGTGCATGAAAAAATGTGTACTAGATAGGTGAGGCTCTCCAAGAAATTGTAGTATGTTGGTGCTTTGCACAACGGAATGCTCATTTGTCTTTGTTAGCCAAAATTATTGAGATAACAATTTTGCTTTGTGTGATTTATTTTGCCTTCTACTTATTATTTATTATTATTTTTCTTTGTATAGGTGTATGTACACGAGAACCACCACTTTACTTAATCACTGAATATATGCCAAATGGGAATTTACTAAATTATCTACGCACACGTAGTCCAGGTGAATTAACTCCACTTACTTTATTGTATATGGCTGTACAAATTGCCTCTGGTATGGCATATTTAGAAGCTAATAACTTTATTCACAGGTAATCTGTTTATGAAATATCATGTTATTGAGTTTTTAAGTCTCAACGGTTTTCGCTCGACATCACTTCTGTTCTTCTGGTGTTTAAAAAAAGTTTAGTTATCGTAAGCTTATCAGAAAAACTACCTGCAGTATGTGTATGTCTTTATTACGGAGAAAACTGCAGCGAAGTTGTAGGTCATTAGTCTATGTAATTGCGACTTAAACATTTAAACCACCAGAAGTAAATTGGTAGATGGTGACTAGTAGTGGAATCCAGGATGTTGCATTCCATTCTATTTGGGACTCGTTAGCTGGATGTGTCTGTATTCCGCAGTGAGTGATGATGTTCCCACCGAGGCTCGAACCCAGTGCCCATAGTTTCAAGACTCAAGGAGTTATCCACCAGACCACTCGAGCCTCGGTGGGAACATCATCACTCACTGCGGAGTGCAGGCGCATCCGACTGACGAGTCCCAAGTAGGACGAAATGCGCATCCGGGATTCCATTGCTAGTGACCATCCACCAACTAACTTCTAATTACATCCCCAAAGATCATCGGAGCATCTGCACAAGAGGCCGACATGTCAACCTGGGACCGAGCACTTCAGTCCAATCAATCGACGGGAAAATCTAAAATTGAATTAAATGTATTTAAACCACCAATTTGAAATCTTTACTTATTGAAGTTTCAGTAGGTTGGTATGCAGTGTTTGCCAGTCGGTTGTATGTATTACGCTGACTAATAGTTCCATTTCAAATGCTTCGTTTTGTTCGTGTTTATGTAATGGGATAAATAGTATTAGCGTTAAAGGACTTATTCTATTTTATTAACAACTGAATTTTCTTATATATGTGTACTTACAGTTTTGAAGTGGTAGTATTAAAATGTTTTAAGCGATTGTTTGGTAATAACGTCTTTTTTTCTCCTTCACGTTCCCAGTGGAATATAGGGCTTCAAACTAGTGGCTTGAAGTTTCTGTAGCAGTGTTTATTTTACAGGATGGGGTTGCTAGCCTCATGTCCAACCTTTCCTCTTCACCAGCATTATTTCTGGCTTAGCGACGTAAAGGAGTGCGTCGGCCGGGGATCGAACCCCGGACCATGTGTATGGTTGGCGAGGGTCCTAACCTCTGTACCACCGACGCACAATAACGCCTTAGTTTGCTGATAAATTCTAATTGTTAGCCTGCATATATGCCATGCATTTACAAATTGCAATAGCGATAAATACAGTTACGTGAAAACAACTGCTGACTGAGTGGGTGGGTGTCGGTTGAACACTGAAGTGAAACTTGTCCTAGAATCTTGAGTAGCGTCAGAAAAATGCTCTAAATCATTGTATGGTTGAATATCTTTCTGTCTATCCTCTGATGAATGACAAGATGAACAATAATCAGAGTTTGAGATAACTTGCCATTTAGTGTATAAAATGCAAAAGTTCTTGTCGAACTAATCCACTGGAAAATTAGAGGCATCACCAGTCAGTGTAGTCAGCGAGTATCTGTCCTCACATCCCACCCAGGGGTTCCCACTGGTCACGAATTCTCATCAGCACTCTAGGCAACTTCCTCCTGTAGCCAGTCACTAACGAGCATCGGATTAATTTCAAGAGTTACTTAGCGATGTGACAGAAGTTCAAATTCATGGGCCATTGGCTTCCGACCCGCATGGTTGATCTGTCAACGAGCTCGGCGTCACAGTTTGAAGGTAGCCAGTGGGGGTTGTGGGTGCGAGTATCTGAAGGGTCCCAAACTAGAATAGAACAGTTATCCAGTATTCCCTGGTTTCCAATGGTCTTCTAACTGAAATCAATCCGTGATGGAGTTTAAAACAAATCGAGTCCCTACAAACTGACTCTTGAAAATAGTTGTCTTTCCCATATATATTTTTTACATTTTAAAATCTGTTTCCAACTTATGCATAAACTGTATTCAAAAAAATTGTATATTTTTTTTATATGTAGGGATTTGGCTGCAAGAAACTGTCTGGTTGGTGAGCGACACTTGATTAAAGTAGCTGATTTTGGCCTTGCTCGATATATGCAACGTCAAGACACATACACTGCTAGAAATGGTGCCAAATTCCCAATTAAATGGACTGCTCCTGAAGGCCTTTCTTATTATATTTTCTCATCAAAGTAAGTCAACTATAGTTTTATGCATGAATGAATATTTTTCATTTTTCGGCTTTAAGTTTTTAAACTCTAATTTAAAAAAATTGATTTATTGATTAGTTAACGACTAGTCACTGCTTTTTTATACACCAGCAGGATATAAATCAATCACAGTAGATGTCAGTGTTTATCATGCAGGCATCGTAGGGGTATTTTTTACTAAACCTTCACTTTTGTCGATAGTGTCTACTAATCTTTGCGCGTGTATGTTGTTGTATGCCCGAGGGTGGTGAGTGAGCTTCAGTCCTCCTCTTGTAGTGCTGTGTCTCATAGTCTTTGCCATGTAAATCTTATTCACCACTGTCTTCACGCAGTGGCGCGGGTGTGTTCGGCATAGAAGTAAAAGAATGAATGCAAACGTTGGGTGCCTATAACCTGACTGATGGATATGCTGGTTTATCTATCTATGTAGGGAGGCTATACATGGGCTCCAGAATCTGAAAGGACCGAATGCCGCGCACGGCCTTGTTTTGATCACCGAAAAAAACTATCAGACACCGATTATAAGTATCCATACCGTACGAATTTCCTGGAATAATTTCAGTACCGAGTTAGACTGAATCATTATTATTATTATTATTGTATTATTATTGTTCCCTTGGGTTCCTAGTGGAACATAGGGCTTCAACTGCACGTCTCCACTTGTTTCTGTCTTCTGCTGTACTTTTCAACTGCATCCATGTTAGTCCATACTGTTTCAACTCCTCTTCACACGACCTCCTCCATGTCACCCTTGGACGTCCCACTCGCTGCTCCCCTTTCGGGTTCCACTCGAGCAATGGCCTGACGCGCGATGTCACCCAGCGGCCGCCTCAGCGAGTGAGTGTCCAATCCATCTCCACTTTCTCCTGCATATTTGTTGGGCGATTGGTTCTTGTTTCGTTTGTTTCTTCCCATAGTTTCTTGTTGGTTCTTGTTCTTTCCGGCCATCTGATCTTCAGTATAGAGCGACGATAGTTAGTTGTTGATAAAGGTCTGCAACAGGCTGTTGGAAATATTCTTTGTGACCCGCCGCCAAGTTTCTGATCCATCCGTATAGAAGAACTGACTCACTTGAAGTCGTTTGTATTGAAAATCCGAATTTTGTTGTTGATGCTGAGTGAGTGGTGAAGATTTACAGATTGCTTTCAGGTTGATGAATGTGTTTCTCGCCTTCCCGATTCTCGCTCGATTTGACATCCTCGTCCGTTTCTCCTGTAGTTGAGACAATGCTCCCTAGATAAGTGAAGTGAATGAAGTAACCTCTTTCATATCCCTCCCGTTGATGGTGATTGGCGCTGGATGTTGCTGCTGCTGCTGTCGTTGTTTTTGGTTGGTCATTTTCATAACCTCCGTCTTGTCTATGTTCACCTGGAGTCCTGTATTTGCTGCCAGCCTCTTCGACCAGTTTGTCGGTTTTCGCTTGTAAGTCTTCAATTTTGTGTGACATCAAACATAAATCATCCACGCGCGAAATCCAGGTCTTCTAGGTTCTTCGAATCATTATAAATTATATAAAATAATCCCAGCGTATTTAAGAAATCAAAACAAGATTTTTCTGAACGTTTCACTGTATAAGCCACAGCTTCTTCATCAGCAGAATTATTCAGATTTCATTAACCATCAAAGTAGCTAGTCAAAAAAATTAGATACACTGAAGTGAGTTCCTTTGAAGTTCACTTGTCTTGTCGGTAGACATTTGTACTAACAGAAAAAGTAAGCAGTCATTACATATTTGTAATGACTAATGTCAAATCTCTACACCCTTGGCCTATATAAAGTTATCTACAAGGCGGCAAGTATTGTGTGTTCAAATCACCATGTATGCGACTCATCTGCATTGCTGAAGCCAACTTTGACCATCAAAACAGAAAAGCCAGATCTCTCGTCCAACCCCTCCAACTTTCATGGTCTTAATCCCTCTGTGCTAAAGTACGGTAATCCTTGTTCATATTTTGGCTCTACTTATTTTTCGATTTGTTTATTCAATTTGCATTCTCTTCCCTTATAACGTCAATCGCTACTATTACTATTCTCACTTTGAACTGTCACCGGTATTATTTCACTTGTTCCACTTGCCATTCCAAGTCGATTTTGTTTTACAATGTTAAATTCTGTTTTCAAATTTCACACAATGTTATGTAAAGTTTTCATTTTTATTCTTTTCGCCTACACTAATCCTATAATTTTACACCCCTTCCAAGTTCTATACATCCTTAATTTCAAATTGTCATATGTGCATATTTGTCTGAGTGACTGTGTGTGTGTGTGTGTGCAGTTAATGGCACTTCTCCACTACCTCGTGGATTAGACTTCCAGTCGAGAACTCCAGAAGTGGCGGCCTCCTAAGACAACCACCTACCTCGTTCAATCTGGGCGTCCGACCAGAATCCCAGCTGTCACACACAGACTATGTGATTTTGTATGGTGCATCTGTTCATAGTGTCCATAGTGAACCAAATTTGTTTTGATGAAAATATCTACCCGTGTGTTTGTGTGCTTGTATTATTTTTGTGTTAATTAATCTTATGCATTCTGTCTGTCTGGACTCAACATAGAACTTGGCACCGAGGTGCAGCAGTTCCAGTTGCCACGTTCCAAATAGCACACAAAGGTAGACAGGAAAATGAGTGAAGAGAATCAATAGAGTTTTGACAAGTATAAGAGTGAAACAGAATGAGTGATGGTAGGAAGGAATATGAAAGATTACAGAGACTGAATACATCTGCGTAAGCCATTGACAAGGATTTTGAGCCATGTCACCTATTGTCTCCAGCCATTGATTCTTAGAGTCCCGAGGGCGGGCCCCAACCCGGAAGTCTGCATCTCCCTCCCTACCTGACTCAGTTTAACTGTCAGGGATTTCATGGATTGATGAGGCCATGTTTTTGTTTGGCCACCGCTTACTCTTTTCCAACCAACCTGCACCTATATCAGCTAGTAATGCCCGTCGGGGGAGGCGATGGTGAGGCATGTGCAGCACGTGACCTAGCCATCTCAATCGATGTAACTTTATAGCCCCTTCGATTGATTTTCCCTCTTTGCTCAACACTGCGCCTAACGTCAACATTACTTACCTTATTATACCACCTCACGTGAGAAAGAGATCGTAGACATCTATGATCGAAAACAGTCAACCTTTTCATGTCTTCAACTCGTATTGGCCATGTTTCAGAGCCATAGAGACGGACGGAGCGAACTGATGAGCAGTACACACGTCCCTTGGTTGATAGTTGGATGTCACACCTACGCCAGAGATGGTGTAAGTTAGCGAAAGCAGCTCAAGCTTTTTGGATCCGTGCTGAGATTTCGTCACCAATCAATCCGTTGGTGCTGATACAACTTCCCAAATAGGTGAAGTGGTCAACATGTTCTATCACTTCACTCCCTATCACTAAGCTAGGAGTTGACGTGGTCCAGTCCTGTAGCAGCATCTTACATTTTACAGGGGCGAATCGCATGCCAAACATACGAAGATTGCTGTTCAAGGTGTTCAGAAGACTCTGCATTTTGTCATTCTGTCTACGAATCAACACTTCATTTATTTCCTGTCACACATATATAATGATTTACTTTTTCTGAATAAAGACGTTTGTTTTGCACATATCAGGGTTATATCTTCATGGTTCCTTTAATTATAAACAATTGGTAATTGAATCTAGTTAAAGACGGAGACAGTATTATATGAAGTAATAACGCGTCGAATTACTTAATGTACCACAAAAAGTAGCTTGAATGTTTAGCATTCATTGAAAAAAAATATCAGTATACTTTGTATGAGTTCTAATGTTAGATGATGAAAACTATTGTGTAAAATGTGGAAATATAAAGTCTAATGGTGGCTCTCTTGGAAATAATTTTTTGGTGGATATCTCCAACTTATCTTATAGTCACATATTTTTTTGCATGGAGGATTTCATCATGAGCTGACATCAGTTAGAGAACCACTGGAAAACCTGCGGGGAGTACTGGACAGCTGTTTCGTCCTAGTTTGGGACTCTTCATCAGTACACACCCACCGGGATTCGAACCCAGGACCTTCTGGTTACAAGGCGAGCTCGTAGACCATTGAGCCACTGGGACCCGATCCAATTGTCCTTGAATTCTAACTTCTGCCAATTCACGACATAGCGCGACTATTTCGCAATGTCTTCTTCGATGAGTTGCTGCCTCATCTTCAACCTGCTGCACCCTACTGGTCACGGCTTCCCACTAGAACCCCAGGTTAACTGCCTGAATAGGGCCAGTCACTAGGGTGCATCAGATTAATTTTCAAGTATTGATGTCAGCTCATGATGAAATCCTCCATCCAAATAAATAAATGTCTATCTATTTAGTTATATTCTTTTGACAATTCATATTAATGATCAAGACTTCCGTTTCGATAGGAATTACTTTATATTATTCAAACAGAAATTCGGTACACTAAGGGCACCAAGAAAGATACACTATGCAGAATCTCAGTTTGTGTAAGATACTGCAGGATATTGCCTGAACACCCAAACTAAAGCAGGTGATTGATTATCTTAAGGCACCACTCTACTCCCTAGCCAGCCTCTGACTTCAAGCCTGATTTACAAGGCAGTGGGACTGTGTTCCTATAGTTTTTGGTGACCAAAACTCCTTCATACGCTATTCGCTCCTTACGGATTCCGGAGCCCACGTACACCATAGGTTAGGAATCAGGGTTTCCCAGCTTCCCTAGGTCGGTAGAACTACCACGTTCATCAATCTAGTTGTTAGCGTCACACGTTCGTATTGACCCTCTCTTCGTGAAGCCGATGGGTAGGATCTACCTGTTAAAGACTATGAATGTGTGGTCATATGAGAGCATTTGAAGAGGAGGACCAAAGTCTCGCCACTCTCGGCGGTAAAAAATCGTTTATTGGGGTCTGCACGATTTTATGTCTCTAAAAACTGGTCGTTCTTTCCACCAGTATTTCTCCGTTTGTTTCTTGTTTCTTTTGATGCAACTAATGGGTTTG